ATTTTTTATTTTTTATTTTTAATGAATATTTTTAAAATTTTAAGTAATTTTTTTACTTTTTTAAATGCACCTTATTTAGATGTATGTAAAAAATAAAACATTTATAAAAAAAATACTTTAAAAAATTAATAAATACACAAAAATATGAAAAATATATTGAATTTTCTTATTTTTTTTGTATTTAGTGAATTTTTTAATAATTTTTTTTCACAAAAATTATATTTTTTTAAGTGTATTTATGTTATGCGTGTCTAAAAATTAAAAAATTTGCTTAAAATATTTTAAAAAATACATTTGAAAACAAAAAATATAAAAAACAAAAAAAGTAAAATTTTCTACAAAATAAATTATGAAAACCAAAACCAAGCCGAGAGTATGTATATATATATATATATATATATTTTTTATGGGAAGAGTCAATCATTATATAGATATATTAGAAGATAAAGGGAATTACTTAAAAGTGTAATGTAAAACCAAAAAAAAAATACAAATATGTGGTGTATGTGAGACTTGCACATTCACAATTTTTCATTTGTATCTCATTACAGAATCACTTGCACTCCTTATGTATTTGTAATTTTTTTTTTCTCAACTGTTAAGTATTCTCCCTATAAGATATCTCAAAGTAAATATAACAATCCCGACCTATGATTAACTGTTAAGTCATAATTAAGTATGTCTACTAAGTAATTAAGATGAAATTCTGAGTTAATTATATGTGCATTCCATTGTTTGTCTTTATATCTGTTTGTTGTAGGAATATCTATTTGTGTTTCTGTTTTGTTTTGTGAATTAAAGGCTTTATCGGTATCCGATCACGAAATTGACTTGGTATATGTGTCATTTAGAATTTTTAGAACATTATGGTAGGTTGAATTGAAATTCGATTCGGAACAAATTAATTAAAATAATTAATGGCCATTGCTTAGATTAATTAGAGTTTAATTAACCAACTCTTAATCAAGCCTATATAAGGCTTCTTTGACTCAAGACACTCAAGTTACACACTCCTATTCGCTCATACTTGAGCTCATAAACGTGTGAGAGAGAGAGAGAGAGAGAGAGAGACTTAGGAAATTGAGTTCAAACACTTAGATGTTGTAGAGACTTGGAAGATTTGGCTTGGAGACTCAACAATTAGCTAACTAGAGCTCAACTACATATCTAAGGTATGAAATCAAGCCTCTAACTTTGAAATTTAGTTGGTTAATGCAAGGAATCAAGTGAGATAGGTGAATTAACTTGAGAATTAAGCTAGGAAGGAAGGAGTTTAAATCATACCATGCATACATGTGCATTTCATGGAGTTTTGATGTTGTTTTTAAGAGAATTTCCTAATGCATGTAATAATTCTAGCTTGGTTTTAAGAATTCACACTACTAGAAATATGATTTTCTGCATCTATTTTTTTGCGACTGTTTGTTTTGCGGTCGCAAAAAATCACTTTTCACATCAAAATCTCTTTCTAATTGATCCAATCGTGTTTTTAAAAATAAAAAATAAAAAACCCCCAAATCATGAAAAACTTGACCCGTCCCCCCCCCCTTTTTTTTTCCGTATTTCCCAAATCTGAACTCTCTCTCAAAATATGTCTCTCACTCGACTCTCTCGCTCGAATCTGACTGTCTCTCTCGCTCGACTCTCACTTTGATAAAGATTTGAAGATTTTGATCGATTGTTGATGAAGATTTGAAGATTTCAATTTGCTGTTGATGAAGATTTCGATCGATTCAGAATTGAGATTCATAATCGGTAAGCCTAAACACTTCTCTTTGTCTCTCTCTGTAATGTTTGACACATCTTCATCGATTCATCTTCATCGCTCGAATCTTACTCTCTGTAATGTTTGACACATCTTCATTGATTAATTTGTAATGTGTAAATTGAAACATTAATCAATTCAACTGTCTGTCTCTCTTTGTAATTTTGCTCTCCTCTCTGCTCTTCGTACTCTCTCTCTCTCTCTCTCTATATATATATATATGTATATATCCATGTAATGTATCACCGATATGTGTTGTTCAATTACAACAATGTGTAAATTACAACAGTATCACCATCTCACAACGGTGTAAATTACATCTCACAACACATGTATCACTGTAATCGATCGAATGAGGCATTTTTTGGTTCAACAAATATTTTAGCTCGTAACAAATCCACTTGCTCGTAATCTCTCTCTCTCTTCGATTTTGTTTCTATGTTTTTATATGTATCTAATTTTATTTTATTTTTGTCTGTACATATATATATATATATATATACAAATGCATATATGTAAGATCTAAAGTGCTGTATAGGTTTGATTTTTGTAATTTTTGGAACAATTTTGCAATGTTCTCCTTGGAAATTTTGGTCCGCTTTTTTTTTTTTTTTAATTTATAATTTTTAAGGATTTCTGATTGAATTGAATCCATATTTAGAACAAAGTTCATTGTTGCTGGGTAGAAATGCTTTACTGTTTGATAAACTGCATAGGAATTCATATTATGGAAACTCTGAGGAAGCCATTACTAACAACCAGTCCTGTCAACAATGTTGCAGACTATGCTACATAAGCTCATCTAAATTTATTTTATTTTATACACTGACAGAATATGAATAATAAATTTATTCAATTCTACTGCCACCATGTAAGGGCAATAAACCAAGAAAAAAAATGCCAATGAAACCACCTGCAACTGTTAGGAAGAGTTTTTAAACATAAAAGCTTGTTTTGAAAATTGTTTTTGAAAGAAACATCATGATGTTTGCAAATATAAAATTACAATTTATGCTGATATTGGGGCGGTGATGTATGTTAACAATTTTTTGGAGATGATTTTTGGCAATGGAGCTTGATAAGGCTTGGCAGTGACTCATTGAGTCAGGAAGTCCTATAGATGTTGTCTCTTCTCTAAGAAGGTAAATGCAATTTTTCCTTGTCAAAAAATCCAAGTAAAATTTGATTCATATGAGCATTCACCCCAGAATATAATAACCTTACAAATGAAATCAAATTTTAAAAAGTATACAACTCTTAAAATGCCAAAACACTATCTTAGTGACTATCTTCTTCTTCTTTATTTATTTATTTAATTTTTAAATTTCCCCAGCTATGAGGATTCAAGAAGACTACGGATTGCTGTTATCCATGGACTGGCACGAATGGCTGCGATCATGGCCTCAACTTACAAGGCATATTTGGGTGTAGGCCTTGGCCCATTATCGGTAGGAGTGTGATAAGCACATGTTGTTGTCTACTTAAAATAAACTCGAGCTTTCCGTGGAGTTCTGCATGCATTTCATTACAGCCTATATTATGTTTTACAGTTTTTGACAAAGTTTAGGATACCACATCCAGGAAGAGTTGGAGGGAGCTTTTTTATTGACCTTGCAATGCCTTTAATGTTGAGTTGGGTCCTCGGCGGTAATGGGTCATTTGGTGCCTTTCACCTAACTTATAGTCATAGATTATGCTAAATGAGTTTAGTTGCTTGATTAAAATAATAGAATAATTAAATGATTTTTTTTCTTCTCCAACATGGTTTTGCAGGTAATGATCAGGAATCTTGGTAATTTCCTTTGATGCAAGTTCAGGGGATTCACATCTTTTTTGTCTACAAAATCATGTGAGTTTTTGAAGTGCCATCATTGTGAAATAAAATTACTTTTTTATATAATTCAGTCCCTCAAATGTCTATTATAGTTAGATTGTTGTTTTCTTAAGGAATATT